TTTAAATTTCTTATTAAGGATATGGACTGAATCACCTCCAATAGATTCATTCCAAGATCTAAAAACAATTGTTGAAGAGTCATGATACGATGCCCACACATCTTCATATCTTAAAACCTTTTTTGACAAAGACCAGACTTGAAAATATTCAAAATAATCGGATAATGATCAGATGCCACTCTAGCTAGATGCCTAACCACAACAAGATGAACACCATTTAAAGCAATAGAGTTTAATAAACATCTATCTAGCCTTTCCAAAATACAAGCCCCTCCACTCTTATTATTACACCAAGTGAATTTAAGACCCAAAAAGCCAGCCTCATGATAATCATTATTATTTATGAATATTTTCATCTCCTTAGGCCCTTTAGAATAAATAAATAAATAAAATTTTCCCCTCCCCTTTTATCTTCTTGAGACAAAATACAGTTAAAGTCCCCACACACCACCAAAGGAATATCTTTAGAAGAAGCCAATTCCAAGCTATTCCATAAACTCGTCCTTTTATAAATATCCTTAATACCATAAATAGTATATATCAACCAAACTCCTTTATTCATAATATTTAGTTCTCCAATAACAACTTGAGAGGAAGTCTCAATAATAGAAAAAGAAGCCAGATCAGATCTCCAAAAAATCATAATACCTCCAGACAAACCAACTGAAGGAAAGAGGAAAAATCCCACTCAACATCCATAAATCTATTGACTTTTAACCTATCAATAATTGAAATTTTGGTCTCTACAAGCCCAACAAAAAAATGCATCGTACTCTTTAACAAATTCCTTTAAATATAGAGAGGCCTCCCTTTTTTTTGCCCCTCTATAATTCCAAAACTCAATGGAAGTCATTAAAAACTTAAATGGGATGGACCCCCACTCTTCTCTTTATTCACCACCTCACTTTTCCTATTACGAGGAAGAATATTGATTGGGCCAAAAGATTTAAGTTCGTTTTGAAGTTTAAATTTTAAAGCAACTTAATTATCCTCATCTAAACCACCATTATTATTTAGAAAGATTCATATCAGTAACAATACTTTTTTTTCAAAGCAAAATCATTTCTACGAACTTCACCCACATTAGAAATATCATCACCACTCCCACTTAAAACATTAAACATATTGTTAGAAATAGGGAAGGAATTCAAACCAAATTCCATCTGCATAGATGAGCAAAACAAATTTTTTTTCTTCTAATTCTCCAAAAATAGGCCTTGGAATCGACTCCTTGGCCTTTTATATCTCATTACAAGTACCAGCGTCACCATCAGAAGTCCTTTGAAATGACTCTTTTCCATGCACCACAGGCAATTCTTTTTCAGATGCTTCATCATTAGATTTGAGAACTTGCTCTCTAGTAGTATCTTTCATGGAATAAATCAGAATAGGAATCGCCTTATCTATTAAGAGGCTCCTCACTACTAATTATAGCCATCTCATAAACAAAGCTTCATTATTGATGGATGGTTGGAAAGCTATATCACTTTTTTTGTTGGTAGATAATATTCCTCAAATTCACTATGTTTAACGCTTGCTTACTAGACAAGACGTGTCATTATCCCTAAGAGTTTCTATAAGTTGATTTCTAGAATTTATTTTAGGTCATAATACCAAAGTAATATTAATGCTAAAAAACTACATTTGGTTTATTTGTCTAACACATGCAACTCTAAGAAATTTGAAGGTTTTGGTCTCCCTACTATCTATGGTCTCACCTCTACCTTTAATTGCTCTTTAGTGTTGCACTATTTGAACTCCAGAAGCTTGTTTGCTTACTAGTGGCACTATAAATACATGAACTTTTGGAATTCTTCACATTCTAAGGGCTCTATGGTTTGGGAGAATGTCACCAAAGTATTAGTCATTATGAGACCAAACATTACCTATAAAATCCATGATGGTGCTAGAATTTCTATGATTTGGATCCTTGGTGTGCTAGGAATCATTTAAGTGAGCTTCTACCTTACAATTGTGCTCATTTTAATGATAAAATGTGAGACTCCCTCTCTATTTTCACTTCGGTTGACAGATAGACAAACTTGGAACTCTTCCATGTTCATGTTTCTAATAATATAAAGGAAATTCACATTCATTTTGAATTTGATTTGACAATATATTGTGGCATGTTTTGCTATAAGCATAATAATATTGATATTCATCTTATACCTAGCGGTCGTAAAACTACAGATGCCCTCCACTCTCTAAAAATTCAAGTTGAAAACCAATGCTATTTCTATTCTGATGGCTATGATAATGTCAATCGCCTGTACTTTGAATGCAATTACACCTTTGAAATTTAAGAAACTTTCTTCTGCAAGCAGTCTCTTTCCACTTTAGACCAAGCCTCCCCCAATATTTTAACGTGTTATTGATCTTCACAAATATGATGATACACACAAGAACTTGACATACCATTCTATCTGATGTGAAGTTTATTTGATATGGAGAGAAAGAAATGACGAGAAATTTGGTGATAGCATCAAATGCCAAAATATTCTCACTTGGATTATACCAAATGCCATCCATCTAAATTCTGCTTCTCTGTGATTGTATTTTCTTGCTATAGTGGGCCTTTTCTTTTCGTCTTTAAAAATCAGTAATGTCTGATACAATGCCTTGTAGCTTTTTGGTCGTGGATAATTTTTTGCTCTGGACAATGATGAATAAGAATTCATGCTGCAAGGGGCTACTCTTCATGTTATTCTTATTGATAGTCTACCAGGCAACCAAGGCTGCAATGGATTGCTTTGCATGTCATCATTTTGTTGGAGAATTATTTTGATAAAATTTCAACCTAGATTTAAATATATATTTTTTTCTTTTTCTCGATTCCTTTCAATTGGGATTTGATTAGAGCATTGCAAATATTTTGCAGCAATTCATGATCATTCATGTATCTCTTGAATTGAGTTGGTCTCTTGAAATAATCTTAATAGAAATAGCTTCTTAGTTGTAGATTTCGTTTAACGCTTTGAGATTGTGAAATTCGTTAAGATCAACGAATTTGAATCCAACAGTATTCAACGTCTTTACTGTTAAATCTGAAAAAGCAACATGATGATTATCATTGTACTTTTAAAACTAGTTAGATGAAGACTTGCGTATTGTTTATGTATTGATTTTAATAATGTGTCTATTCGTTCTCGCCCGGCCCCTTAACATGCCATTTTGTTGTCAAATGTCTTTCGTATTCTTACTTACCTGAGGCGCGTGGCGTCTCCCGCCTTTTAAAACCGAGCAAATTAGATATTGATGGATATTGATGTTGATTAATATTTGGGATTCTTATTGGCCAGAATATACGCGCCGGTAGAATCAGAATTTTACATCTCAGTGTTATACGAATATCCAACACACAAATAGAAAACACAAGATTTTTTACAAAGAAAACCTTGAAAAAATGACGAGGTCACGCCCAATTTATTTGATTCCACTAGTGTTTGAGTACATTACAGTTGGCTAAATCGTCCTTGAGGACGATCATATTATGATAATCAACTATATGGCGGTAGAGTCAGAATTTTACTTCTCAGTGTTGAACGAATATCCAACACATAAATAGAGAATACAAGATTTTTTACGTGGAAAACTCTGAAAAGGGTAAAAATCACGGAGACACGCCCAGTTGAAGCGATTCCACTAGTGTTTGAGTATATTATAGTTGACTAAATCATCCTTGAAGACAATCAAATTACGATAATCAACTATTTGGTTGAAATCTTGTGACAAACAGGGGTTAGGTGAGGGTCCGGCGGAAGTCCATAGTCAATCGGTGATTCAGCGAAAGTTCAAGCATTAGTTGGTGGTTCGGCGCAAGTTTTGGCCTCAATTGGTGGTCGGGCGAAAGTCTAACGTTAGTTAGTGGTCTGGCGGAATTCTATAGCTTCAGTCGGTGATCCGGGCATCAATTGTTGGTTTGGCATAAGTCCGGGCATCAATTGGTGGTTTGAAGGAAGTCCTACGTCAGTCAATGGATTAACGGAAGTCTGGGCGGTGGTTGAGGAGGAGCTTGGTGGCAAGAGAAAATCTCATATTTCTTCTCTTCCTTTTTTCCTTCCTAACTTGGGGAGCCCCTTCCATGGGAATAAGAGGTCTATTTATAGATTTTTTTAGAGTGGCATGACCATTAAATAGGAGGAAGATCAAGGGTAAGTTGGAAGTGGTTTCGATGGATGGATGATATTGATTCTCTTAATTGTGGATCGTTTACAGGACATTTGAATGTCTTAATGATATCAATATCTTGCGATATTGAACTTGTTGGATTTGTCTTGTCGAGCCGCTCGATTTGAATATAAGCAGGTCATGTTTGGAAAATGTTTGGTAAACCAAATTATGGTTTGAACCTTCTAAATGTGCTTTGAGTTATTGATCTGCACTCATTTGGGCTCGGATTGAATCGAATTTGGTGTCGTTGGGTTTGTATTTCTAGGAAGTTCAGTATGACTATAAGTTTGTTGAGATCGGAATTCAGACAGTCCCGAATTTAATTCTTGAAGTTTCCAACTTGATTTTGCCTCGGGATTCGTGTCCGATCAAGATAATACTTTGATGATATATCAAGGATCATTTTTATTTTTTGCTTTTCAATTTTTTTTTCTTAACTTTATTTCATTCATATTTTAATACCGATTAAAAAGTATTTGAAATCTAAAAAACTAATACTAATTATTTTTATTGACCATTAAATAATTTTATGTTTATGATATAATGGCCATCCACAAAGCCAATAAGGAGATGACGACAATAGTTGTCAATGGTAGAGAAGGCAAAACAGCCATGACGACCTTGATAATTAATTTTAAAAATATTTATAATATTTTAAATGATTTTAATTATATTTAAAAACAATATGATTAATTTTAAAATTATGAACTTTACGAACTTCCATAATTAATCAATAAGGTGATACAGTCAATTAGCTGCTAAACCAAAACTACGTTAGCGCTTAAAATCCAAGAGAAATACAAGTTTAAAGGTTACAACAACCAGACACTTAGCAATATAATTAAGGGAGGATTCTAATTACTTTAATAAAGTTAACAGGCAATGACGGTTCCTGCTGGCAACTTCCTATCTGCTCGGCCTCTTGCCCGTATAGTGTACGCTGCGCGCTCTTGCTGTCTCTGGCGAAACCAACGCTGGATTTACCCTTCTACTCTGCATAAAATTTCCTAGTTTTGAGATTCATCTTCTCAATCTTGTTTCTTCTCATTTTAGTTTAGTATTTTGATTAATATATACAATCTGATAGCAGAGAGGGAGAACAAGAGGAAGGTTTGACTGGGGAGGATGATGAGCTGCTAAAGCGTGGAAGCAGGAATTTGCATCACGCGGACGAAGAAAATGATGGCGATGAGCAGATCGATCGCGAACTGCAGCAACAGCAACCATGGGGTTCGTTGGATCAGCGGAAGGGGAAGAATAAGAAGAAGGATAGGAAAGTGAACTCTAGCAGCAGTAGGAGGAAGATGCAAGCGAAGGCCAAGAAATTCCTCCTCTCGCGTCTCAGCGGATTCGACAAAGACCTTGAGGACTCGAAGAATAAGACAGCAGCAGCTACTGCGAGGCGATCTGCCCCTCCTTTCCCTTATAATGGGGAGGATTTCGGTGGTAGTCCTTCTCGCTACGTCTGTTTTCTCAGACCTTTAATTCCCCTTTCTTCAACCTCGCCGGCACACTCGGGCTCTGCTGCCGCCGCTAAAACACCTGACGCGGTAAACACTCCGAAGCCAAAAAGTTCTTCTTATTACGATTTTGTGAAATCCCTCATCGAAAAGAATGACTTTTATTCCCCTGAATGCAATGCCCATGGCGAAATCCGTAAATCTAAACACAAATAACCCAATTTAATAGCTTTTCTTTGTGCCTCTGGAATTTTTCTCTTTTTACACCTATTTTTTCTTAGATTTCCCTTGTTACAATCTTTTGGTTGATTTAGCTGATGCGTCAGTTCATGGTATGTGATAGCCTCACCCGACTTGAAGGCTGTTTATTTGTTACTTGTTGAGTTTGAGCAGTCGTAGTTGGGTCTGGAAATATCAAAAAAGTTATGATGAACTATCAGGGCATTGCTGCAATGTATCATTTTCAACTTGTGGGTAACTTCTTAGCATCAGATTGATTGATATCTGTAATCCTTGTTCAGTTTTCTGTATAAGAAAGGAATTGAAAGGTTCATTTCATTTCTTCTCTTAATTTCTCCTCCTGTACTCATGTACTATTTCTTATGTTTTTTGTGTTGCTTCAAAACTCTGGTTAGAGTGATTCCTGTTTGCCTTCTCTCCAATTCTTTCCTTTGCATTCCTCCGTCCACTTTAAATGAGCTGTCGTTATCAACTCATCCAGAAGAATAAAATTGCACCTTGGTAAAGGAATAGATTACTTCGTTAGCAATCTACACTGAAGAAGCAAATGATGATGATTTGAGAAACAATGCTCTGCCATTGGTTTAGTTGTGGAAGAGGAGTTAGGCTTCGTTTGGGATTGCTTCTTTATTGTTTCTTAAAATAGAGTTTTAATATAAAAATTTTAATTTTTATACTAAAATTTTGTTTTAAAAAACAATAAAAAAACCATTCCAAAAGGAAGCGTTAGTCAAAATAAAGCTTACGACTGATATGTAATTGTATTGATTTTCTCAAAAAGTTTATGAAAGAGCAATCTTCAATTACTTGCATACTATTCTCTCTTGGCGAATGGCATCTATAGTTTGCTTAATGGTAACGCAGCCACTTGTAAGCATATGGTTTTCCTAGAAGAGGGAATTCGTATTGTTCCCAAGTATCAGTCTTTTGTTTCCTATGATTGTGCAAGTTTCACAATATATCCCTGATTTCTTCTTTGGTTTCATTTGGGGTTAAAATATTTGTGAACGTTTTCTTGCTTGCTTTTCTAGATTGTTTAGTATTGAAAGTTCATTTTGTTATGTGGTAAAAAATCGAGCATACAAATCTTGGTTTATTTGAATGCTAAACCTTTAGTTATGTGACTTGCTCAATATCAGAAACAAGTTTCCATCATCACTTGACTTAGATTATTGCAACTACTTTGCTCCATAGCAGTGTATGTACAGACCTGAATGTAATTTGTCCTTGTTCTGAATTCATCTCACTTTTTGTTTTCCTTATTTAATCAGCATCCTGATGTAATTGTTCCTTGATCTGAATGCATTTTTTTCGTATTTAATCATACATTTAGATAATGCAATGATTTGGTGTTCTATCTAGTTTCAATGCATTGATCATTCCATCAAATGTTATTATTATGCCCAGAATCTTGCATGCCCAGCTTTACATGCATGTTAATTTTAAATAGGATTATTCCCTTATATTTATTTTCTAAAATCACTAGTATGTGTTTGAAAGCTGAATGCATGTGGGCTTCAAAAATTCCGCCACGGCCTCCCCCGCTGCTTTTTTGGGGATTTGGGGAGTTTTAACAGATTAAGTTCCAGGATAAATTTTGGGAAGACAGATAAGTTTGTAAATAAGACACTAACCAGAGATTTTGCCCTCATTTTCTGAAGACTTTATGATATGAGTTTCTGGTTTCCCATAGGTGTAAGCTCTTATAGTTAATTACCCCTCCTGATAACAAAAGAGAACTTTCAATTAAAGCTAGTCATCGATTAGAATGTAGAGATATGTGTTATCTGGCATATAGTAGCAGCATGGGCTTAGGATATTGGAAGGTTTGGAGATTTGATATTTAAAATTAGAAATTTCATCATCTTGTACTTAAAGCGGATGCTAGGGGAATGGATGATTGACCCAATCAAGATCTCATGGTTCCGTCATCCCTGGCCATCGTGGCCCTTGGTCTACTTAATCAGAGAAGGTAGTCGACCTAACCTGACAGAAGGATCCTTGTCGGCAGCCATGGGTTGCTTCGTCTAAGGGAACCTTGTAGACTTGGGATTAATGTTTGTCTAAGGGGACAAATTTGAATCCATCTTAAGCTAACAAATGACTTTGTGCCTTATCGATCATATCATATTGATTTATATCTCAAAATTTTGATGTCATTAAGGAATGTATTGGCTCTATCCATGGCTATAATTTAGTGGTGTCATTTGGGGGCAAAATCACTCAGTTCAGAAGGCCCGGGTCATAAACATTTATCCAGTGGTGTCATTTGGCAGCAAAATTGCCGGTCAGAGGATACGTACCACATCCTTACTGGCAGGAGATTATTTGAGAATGGATCCTAGTGATATTTTTTACTATATATTAGTTCTATGTGAGCTGAAGTAAATTCCAATTTGTTCATCTGATAAAATGTTGTCGAGGTTGGATGGATGTTTGTTTTAAGTGATTTTATGGATTATTTCAATTTTAAATATTTGGAATTTGGAACAATTTTTGGAATTTTGTATTTTATGAGTGTTTGAGATTTTATAAGGCATTTGAAAGTGTTTGTGAATCCCTCCAATTAAGATCTACATTCAACACGATCATCATTGGGGTATTTAAGGGGTCATTGCATTTTGTCCGCTGGACCTTGTCGACTCTGCCAACTTATCAATGGAGGATCGAGTCCATAAGCTTTTTATTTTTGCTGATGAATTTCTTTTGTTATAGACCTTGAAGACCTTATATAAACGTATGAAACAAATATTTCGGTCGACACCTTGACTGTATATCTGTTTGATAGTTCGAGTCGTGTCGACTTCTATTTACCTATATAGAAGGATCAGGTTCAAACTGGTGTTCATCTATTGACCCGCACAGTATCCCTAGATGTTACGTGTATATCCATAGCATGCTCGTTGGGGCCCATGTGGTTATATGATCACACATGCCCTTCTGTGTTCTTATATGCATACATATTACAGTTTATTTAGCACTGCTGAATTCCATGGAAAAATGCCATTTAAATGCAGCATTCTATTTTGGAAGCTCGTACACGCCTTATATTCGCTTGTAAGTATATTGCAGATCCGGTGGCGTGGCATTGCAGCTTGTAGACTTTTTCTATCTGCTTGTATGAGTGTTGTAGACCCTGTGGCATTGCGCAGCACTATAGTCATTTGTCCATTTCATACAGGTAGACTATCATGTACTACTCATTACTTTCTGTAGGTGGATTGTAGTGCACTAATAAATCTCCTGCTATGGCTTGTAGGAGCCTGCACTTGTTATAGTCATTCGGTATTTTATTTGCGGATGACATCTTGAGCACGAAGCGAGTTTCCTACAAGAGCCCGTGGACATTTGCATTTACTATATATCATCCACCCTTGGCTGCAGAAGATCGGTGTATTTGACTTATGTTGAATTGTTGTCAATGATGTAGATGTTAAGCGATTCATCATACACTCTTCGTATTCTACTTGTGAACATCTCATGTTGCATATTGATTGTTATGGCTTGTAGAGGTTTAGTGCATTTGTCTGATAATCACTCATCATTAACTACAAGGATGCCTAAGCATCTACTGTAAATTGTTCATCGTTACTCGTAGGTGGATGAGATTATGCATGACAAGCCTCTTACATCGGCTTATAGGAGACTGCATTTGATGCATTTCTTCTGCCTCTTATTTATGGATAAAATATTGGGTGTATAACGAGCTTCCTACAGTAGCTCGTAGGTACTTGCATTTGTTGCATTCCACCTACCTTTGTTTGCATGATTGACATGAACTTTACACATCAACTGTCATCAGTGGTGAAAGAGAGAGAGAAAACAACATTTTATTGATTATCATGATTTTTATTTCTTGAGTGTTTAAATGAGTCAACCACAATTTGCTTCATATTTTAAATATAGTGGAGGTAAATTTTTTCTCTCTTAAAAAAATTTCTCCTCAAAAGTTCGCCTTATGTTTTCTTTACTTTAAACTTTTTCTTAAATTAACTTTTCTTTTAAATATTTTGAATTTGTCAAATTTATGGACTCCATCATCAAAAATAGAATTTAGACTTTTGTTTGGACTGGTTTGAGTTAGGACCCAGTCTGAAAGAATTCAAACTAGGGAGATAATGGAAGCTATAATTTTGATTTGAATTTATAGAATTTAAGTAATTTGATTTTGGATTTAAATTTGAGATTTTAGGACAAAGATCTAATAAACTCAAATTTTTATCAAATTTTTATATATTTAAAAAAGTCTAATCCTCATTAAAATGAAGAGAAGAGAGTAGAATGGGAAAGAGGAACATAAACTAAGCCCAAACTAGAAATACATGAAGAAAAAAAAAAACATAACATCCGAAGATGGAGAGGAAAACTTGTCTCACCGTGGTTGCCAGGAATTTATAGGTCTCCAAATGGGAACTATGAGTGAGGGTTAAAATGCAAAGGATGTGATTGCACTATCTCATAGAACAAAATGATCGCAAACCTTTACACTCTATAGAAGAAGGTCATTGGAAGAGCATATAGAATTATACATACAATTATATATTAAAATAGTGTCTTTCACCTATACATCTCGATTGATTAATGATATATATAATTAACAGCCATGAGATTTCTGTCATTCAATATATCAGTCAGAGTGGGGTTTATTTGATGTTGGTGTCTGATTCCTATGGACGTAAGCCCCCTAGGTAAATTACATATTAGTTAAATTTGAAGTTCCATTAATATCCAAAATCATTAATCCTAAGTAAATTAGTTAAATTTATCACGTATATCTTTAGGAGTTTTATTTAGAAGGAATATTAATTAAGTATGAACGATTATGCTATTGAGTTACTTTATTGGAAAATATATAATATATGTCATTCTAAAGATAGTTAAATTATTAATTTTATACTTTTCAAAGATCATATTCCAGCAAAGAAAAAAAAATTTAGTTCAAAGTATAATATGAATTACTTTAGGATAAGTAATTCTTTAAGTTTGGAGGAATTTGATAATAATAAAAAATGTATACTCCAAACTACAATTATTTTTATGAAAATGCTACCTAACTCTATCTTTCTATACATGAAAGGAGTAAAATAGGATTCATTGTTGAAGAAGTGTTATGGCGCCTCTTATCAAAGTGTTTTAGTGCCACACGCGAAAGCGCCAGTGCGTTAAAACCAGAACCACAGTGGTGGTGAGTTGATTCAAGATTGAGAGCAAGGAGCCAAGGCATCGAGGTTGACATACCATAGCACCAGGGACGGAACCCCATTGGGGTCATTATTTCTAAAAATTTCCGAAGTCATGTCCTTAATTTTTGTCATTAAGATGTCACTAGGT